GGGGACCCCACTAGATCAAGTTGCCCGCATGTAATTTTTACTGTTGATCTCAACCGTTCTTTTGGCGGCTACCCCGTTTCAAGCTAACCCTGGTCCCCACTATCCTTTTTTTCCCTCCAAAAAGTTTTTTTTTCCTTCTTCAGTTATTTTCTCTCTTCCCAAAGATTTTTAATAGATATTCATTCCTTGAAGCTCGGTGGTAGCTTAGCTCTTTTCTTTTTGAGCTTAGAACTCTTTTCACTTTATCTATTTATTTTCTTCGTTGTTAATTTCTCAAGAAAAAAATAAGAAATTAACAGATCTTTCATCGTTCTTCTACTGAAATCATTGTTTTTTTTCCAAATATTTTTAAAGTTTCCAAATTGGGTTTTCATTTTCAGCCTTTTTTGATTATTGGGTTCAGCTCAGTTTCTTAATTCTGCTGTCAACTTCTTCTTTTTCCCCTAGTTGGATTATCGAGGAAGTTGAAGCTCAGTGTTAGTTGTTTCAGTTATTACTACTCTACAAAAAGAGAGAGAAAAAAAGATTATATTTATTTTCTCAGCTATGTTATAAATATATAGAGTTCTTACCCAAGTTTCCTTCAAAAAGTTTTTCTGGGTATTTGCTCCTTTACAGTTTGTTCAGGTGTTAGTATTGAAAAGGTCACTGTTTCGGATCTTAATCGTGGATTTGTGGTGTTAGGGTTTTCATTAGTGTTTTTTACTATATAATTTTTTTACTTCTTTGAAATTCTTTTTTTTTCTTCTGAAAGTGGGGTATTTTCTAGATTCCTCAAGGATTGCCTACAACTTACAAAAATGTATTCTGATTCCTTCCAATTGCTCCCTGATTTAACGCTGATATTTTTCCTTTGATTCCCTATCAACTCTGTATTTCCTCAATAATTTCTCGCTCTGTTTTAACTCTTTTCGAATTCTAAAGCCGAAATTCGATTCTTCAAGTGATCAATCCTATGAAACGATCAGTGAATTAGGAACTCGTTAGGATAAAAATTTCGTGTTTGGTAGTTTTATTGTTTGAATTTGATGTTATGAAGTGGGAAATGGAAATTCTGTCGCCAACATCTTATGTCTCCAGCACAAACTGGTTTGATGAAGAGAGTAAGAGCACCAAATGGACATCAGCGGAGAACAAGATGTTTGAGAATGCTTTGGCAGTCTATGATAAAGATACGCCCGACCGATGGCAGAAAGTGGCTGCGATGATCCCGGGGAAGACGGTGGGAGATATAATTAAGCAATATAGAGAATTAGAAGCTGATGTTAGCAGTATAGAAGCAGGGCTGGTCCCGATTCCCGGATATAGCACCTCTCCATTCACATTGGATTGGGTGAATACCAATGGCTATGATGGTTTGAAACAGTCATATGGACTCGGAGGAAAGAGATCTTCATCAGGCAGGCTTGGAGATCATGAGAGGAAAAAAGGGGTTCCTTGGACAGAAGAGGAGCATAAGTAAGTTTAAATGGAGTTCATTTAAAAATTATACTAATTTATGACAGATTATAATTTTGTTAATTTTTTTATTATCTGTTTGTATCGGTAGTACTTTCAGGTTAAGAAATTAATTGTGAAGATTCTAGTTGTTTGAGTAATAATTTGCATTTGGTTTCTTTATATATATCTTCATTTTCATTGACAAGATGGAATTTTCACAGATTGTTTCTAATGGGGCTAAAAAAGTATGGCAAAGGGGATTGGAGAAACATATCTCGCAATTTCGTTGTCACTCGAACACCGACTCAGGTGGCTAGTCACGCGCAGAAGTATTTCATCAGGCAGCTTTCAGGAGGGAAGGATAAGAGAAGAGCTAGCATTCACGACATAACAACGGTCAATCTCAATGATATGAGAACTCCTTCCCCGGACAATAAGGGAACTCCTTCACCCGAGCAGTCTTCGGTGCTCACTCAGCAGCCAAATTCTGCTGCCATGCCAAGAACAAACTTTCAATGGGATCCACCATGCGGTGGGGCAACAACAGTTTTTAATTCAACACAAGGAAGTATGCAAATGTCTTCTCCTTGTGGGGTTCCCTCCTATGGATTGAAAATGCAGGGGCAAAGTCTGCATAGAAGCGCTGCACATGAATCCTATTTTGGACCTCAAAATTTGTTTTTTCAGATGCAACCGGCCGAACAATACCCTCAAGACCTCCTATTCTGAGTTTCTCCTGGATTGATAAGCCTTGCAGACTTCCGGTTGATTGTTATAGCTTTCTTTGTGCTTTTATGGTCTTACTATCTGTATATTAAGAAATTGAGTTTATTCCATAGCATTCAACCAAGAGGTGATAGGATTGAGTTTTGCTAGGAATTTCAAGACTATGAAACGTGAAACTCTGAGGAAAGATTCTTAAACATGGATTTCCCTTGTATTTAAGATACTGTAGTTGAATCTGATCATCCCTTGATCAAATTGCCATGCTATTTGGTAATAGAGGTGAGCTTATCTGGATTGCATCGACAGAACAACATGCGGGATATGTGCTACAGATAAAGTTGTCTTAGAGTCTAGGAATATGATTTGAAGCATAAGATAAGACTACCATACTTTTGCACTATTATTTGGCACCTTAAGGAAGGTTCAAAGATAAGATAGGAGCAGGCACCATACATGAACCAGAGAGTAGGGTTCGAATTGCAGGCTCACATGGAGAGTGGAGCAGTAGAATAAGCATCTACGACGAGAAGTTCGAAGCTTAGACATTTCTAGGCATGACCGAGTGGTTGTAATTTTCAGAGTTTCATCAATCTAATTGTATACTTTTAGCAGTTCCATTTTGTAAGTCCTAATAATTTGATTCAAGACCAATGATTCCAAGTTTCCAACAGAAAGAACTTCATATTTTTCTGATATTGCAAGAGTTGTAAGTCTATAGGTTAAGGTTTTGAAGCATCCCCATGTAGGGTCTACATTTCTAGGTAAAACTTCAACCTATTCACAATGGCTGCACCAGCACATTTTTGAACTGGTTTGGTTGGATATCGGTTCATTTGAGACTATTGCAGTAAACCCATTTTCCAAATACCCCAAAAATGGCCTACATGACTGTTGTTGACCTTCAAAAATCAAAACCATAGTCGAGGCTGACTCTGAAATCCACTTACTTGAGCATCATATTCTTCAATGCGCCCCCTTTTCTTCCTCATGAGATCTTTGTTAATAGATCCTCTTGTGAAAAAGAAGATTACTCCATTTATGACAATTCAAAAGCAAGATTCAGGTTAGATTGCCCTGTTAGTTGGTTTCCCTGTTTATTTATATAATTTTGCAGTAAAACCCTTCTTAAAGTGTGTAAGATATCTCTCTCCTTCAATCTTCTTAACAAAGGTTGGCAAGTCCATGATTTTGTGATAGTAAGTGCACGTCTGCAATCAACTTGATGAATATAATAAAGGGTTCCACTTCAACTCGTTTTTAAAATCTTAAACTCAAATTATGAACTCTTTAACGGAGACAAGCTACAAAGCTTTTCATTGGATATAAAAAAGAGTTGCTCTTCCCACTAAGTAGGTGCTGATTTGAACTAATGATTTGTATCATTTAATAAGACAAATCAACAATGATTAATAACTAATAAGACCCCATAAAGTTAATTGGAGTAACACATTTCGGTCTCTTTCTCTTTCCTTTTTCTAAACACAATTCTCATTTTGAATTAATTACGGCGTTGAATGATTGTCTTGAAATCTGTCTTCGTAACTTCATCACAAAAGTAATTGATGTAATTATGATTTCCTCCATGACCATATCATTATTTAACTTCTCTCTCTCTCTCTCTCTCTCTCTGCGCACATAGATGCACCGCGCTGACATGCATGGACTGGTTTTGCCATATTTGTTGATTGCATGTTTAATCATGTGACTATTAATATGTAGGCCATTGCACCAAGTTCTTGTATATCTTTACTTCATTATTTCTTTGTATTCCCAAACCATGGCTGGTTTATGTGTTTTTTTAACTTTGCAGAGGAAACCACACAAAGATAGTGGCATATTGTATATTCAGTCCTATATATGAAGCAAGGAATACAGGGACAAAATGGCCAATATGGTCATATCAAGTAGCTAGCTTTTGAAGGTAGCTTGACAAAAGCCAGAATAATCTTAAAAAACGAAGGCATCTAGGCAACTTTATTCTTATTTTTGTTATCAGCATCTTAACTAGTTACGACCACATATATTATGTCATAATTTGACCCTTTCGGTTATCTAATATTATTCTGATTCTTCTCTTACAATGCTTCTGGTTGGGAAAGGAAAAAAAAACTGATGCTTGTAACTGAAGCCCTTATCTACAACTACATTGGGGAAGAGGGTATTTTATAATTTCTATGCTGTTCGTCGGCTTAAAAAAGATTTGAAATTGATCCAATTTAGGGGTCTTTCGGCACATTTCGAAGACAAAAAAAAAGTGCAATAATTAATGCAATCAAAAGGTTAAAAGACTGCATATCTGGTTCCAGTGAAACAAACTAGAATACAACAATGTGTTTTAACGGCATCTTTAGGACAACAGAAAATGATATAGCAGAAAGGACATATATATGCCACTCAGAACATTAGTCATTAGTATTATTTGCTATAGCCTGGGATTTTAGTAGAGAATCCGAGGGGAAGGGGGAGGGGGGCATCAAATCTGTCCTGAGATTTCTTAGATTAGACTCAAAATACCCAATTTTTATGGATCAATTTCATCCTCAGAAATGCATGCATCCATGCATGTTAAGATATCAAGGTTGAATTATGCTAGTGAAAACACCATAAATCACTATCAAGAAAAAGGAGAGACAGGCCCCTAGACATGATGACTGTCATCTTTTTTTGACATGGAAACTGTGATAATGTGGTTGAATTCATACATGGGGGAAGCCTTTCAAAGAAAAAGTCCAAAGAAGGAAAATCAAACGCCAAAGGACCAGATAGATATCAATGCCTTGATTATTAAAAAAGAAAAGAGCATTGGCACTGCTGACCTGGGCCATGAAAATAATTTAATCTGTAGGTTTCTCCTTGCTGCATGTCAAGCCAAAGCCAAGGGGAAACAATGGATCACATGAATTGTCTCCATTGTTGATTGGAAACTGTTTAGTTGTCCTAAACCACGTCGTTGGTAATCGTCCCTCAAAATCATAGTCTCCAAAAACTAAATCTGTGATTCCCTTTCCTTCAGTTCCTGGTAACCAGGCAACAATCAGGGCATCCATTTTTCCCCCATAAGTCATAGCTCTGTAAGCAAAGGTCTTCCAGAAATCAGGATCACCATTCACCAATGTGGGGGTTCTGTCAGCAATAGTGCTTATTAATTCACTTCTGTTTAAGGGGATTACTATCGTTTCCGGAAGACTCTGCGTATGGTTCTTTACCAATAGCTACAATGGCAAAAGAGAATTTTATAAGCAGAGTGGCATTAGTTAAGACATTCAATATCTAGAGCAAATGACAGCAATAGCATTTGCATACAAATTCAGCCAGTTACTATTCTAGATAACTATGATCCTTAATGGTTTACTGCTCTAGATAGCTGGAGAGGTGGTGATCGAAGGTTTGGGCCAAAATGCTCAATAATAAGATCTCCTTACCTCTATTATTATTATAAGGTTTTTGAGCACCCTGGGAGCCAGTATTTTCATCATTAAATCCTGTTCAAACTTTTCCTCATTCTATGATCCGTGAATCTAATAGGTTAATGATTATGCCATTTTTCTTCATAGAAGAACACAAACATAAAACAAAATCTTGGAAAATTAGAAGTCCTTTGATGAAAATATATTCTTTGGAACAAGAAAACAATCAATTTCTTGTGTTGTAAGTCATTGGAATTTAGAGAAACTTTGTATAGTAACAGCAACCGAAATGCTAAATTCTTACCAATTTATTCACACTTTCACTTGAGAAGTGAAACTGTAAATGGTATATGCCTTTTAGGATATATTGCAAATAAGATGTGTACCTTGAAACCTAGTTTGTCTTTCAAAATTTCTGTAAGTGGAAATGGTGGGCATGGAGTAATAAAAATATTGATATTTGATGGAAGAATTTTATCGCCCTTATGTTCCGTCCAATTCTTAAACAGATAGGCGATAAATACTTATAATTATAAAAATGACATCAATAATATTTTACTAAGCCTTCAAATGATTTACACACAAAATTAATGCTAAAATAGAAAGAAATGTATGAATTGGAAACCTTGGAACAACTTCTAAAGTGGAAAAGATAATTTCTAATATATAAATAAAAATCCAAAAGCATCTCTGAAATGTTCTTCCCCTTACCTTACTACATAGCAGCTACTCTGTACTATCTTATCAAAAGAGATATACAAATAAATTAAGGCTTGAATGGCTTCTCCTGGTGCTCGAGCTGGATCGAAGCTTTGGGTCTTTCAATGTCGCCAGATTTATAAAATCTTTTCCAGAACCAATGTTTCTTCCATACCCTTTCAACCATTTCATCGATGGGGATCCCCTTGGTTTCCGGGAGCATCGCCGCCACGAAAACTATCATGGTCACGAGCCAGGCGGCGAAGAAGAAGAAAATGTAGGCTTGCATGGTACAAAGCATGGAGAGGAATGCTTGTGCGATTAAGAATGTGCAGAACATATTGGTGGCGACGGCGAGGAAAAAGCCTCCGCTTCGAGTCTCCAATGGGAAGACTTCGCTAGATATTAGCCACCCTAAAGGGCCCCATGACCATGCAAATCCATTCACATATAAGCAGATTAATCCCACCACTAGTTTGGCCGTCTCACTAGGTACTTTGCTTGTCTCCGTCAAATACTTTTTCAAAAGACCGCCGATCACAGACCTCAAAGAAACAATTCAAGGGTTGTTCTTCGTTTTGTTCATAATATTGTATAGCTCAATTGGTTTAAGAGATTTTACCTGAGCAATCAAACAAATCGAAGCTCCCAGAATGAGTAGTTTCTTCCTACCAGCTTTATCAACACTGAAGACGGCGATGAGTGTCGGCAGTACGTTGACCGTGCCGGTCATAACAGCCGATAAAAGTGATGCATTGGAACCGAACCCCATGGGTTGAAACAACACCGGTGCGTAAAACATGACCACGTTGATCCCTGTAAACTGCTGGAACACATGAATGATGGTGCCACATATCACTGGTGGAACGCTACGCCTTTTCGTTAGTTCCCTGAAAGGGTTTTTGATTTTATTGGAAATTTCGGTGGCACGAACGATCTCTTCGAATTCTTTCTCGACATCGTCTACGCCCCTGATTCTCTTTAGAGTTTTCAAACCTCTTTCTTTCTTTCCTCTTTCTATTAGACTCGCTGGGGTCTCCACAATTATGAAAGATCCAACAAGCAAGATTATGGCAGGCACGGCGCCGCCGCCCAATGATATCCTCCAACCATACGGTCTTATATTCGATGTGAAGTAGTTAACCAAGTTTGCTATCAAGATACCGACAGTGATGAGCAACTGAAAGCAAACATTGAGTCCTCCTCTCAGGTCCAGTACTTACATTTTAAAGATCTTAGGCTAAAAAATAGGGTCTATTGAATTATTATATTTTTGAGTTTTTTAAATAAAAAATGATATTTTAAAAAAATGTAATTATTAGGATCCATTAATTATCATATTTTAAAATATTTAAAATAAAAAAATATATTTAAAAATATTTTTTAATTATTAAACTTAAAAATAATTTAAAAAATGGATCCCTCCAAGCTTGAGGCCTGCCTATGCCCAGTGCCGGCCCTGCCTCCTCTATATTTTGGCGGTGCAATTTCTGTGATGAACAGTGGAACAGCCTGTTCCAAACATGATCATTTAAGGTGAAAAGTGAAAACTTTGCTTTCTTTGTATGGGATTAATGGGAAGAAGATTAGTTGAATTACCTGGTTACCACATCCTACACCAGCACCAAGGAAAAGCCTTCCAAGGATTAATATGCCGAGTTTCTTGGCCGTCAAGTTGAGAATAGCTCCGATGAAGAAGAAGACAGAGGCAGCTTGCATGGTCGGCTTTCGACCAAATTTTTTGCACATAAAGGAGGCTGCACAGCTGGAAACGATGGCGGCTATGTAGAGGGACGATGTGAAGAGCTGAAGATATTCGTCAGCAAATTTGCAGTAGTTGTTTTCATGGGCGTGGTGCTTTCTAATGTATACATCGGGGAAGAACTTCATCAGGAAATCGTCGCAAAGTTTCTCATTATTATCTATCTCTCTCCCGCAAAGTCTCTCATTATTCTCGTCGCTCTCTAATGCGAAATTCTGCACGTAAAAACGTGTCTCCTATAGAAGAAAAAGAATAATCTCTCGCATAAATAATTCCTATTTTCAATTTAGATTTTGAAACATATTCTTCCAACTGATTTTCTAGGGTTTACCAGATGTCATTGATTGAATTTCTACGACCGACGACTATAACAATTCAAAGTAAGTGTAGCGGGAATTCGTATTATAATCATCTTTATGTAAATGGCTTAAGCTTCTGCAGCAATCGGTTTAAGGTTTCGTTTCAAAACACGAATCGTTTTATCCCCGATTCGACCACTTTCTCTCTACGTAACGTCGTCGTTCCGCGGAACCACGAGAGGTTCAATGTTTATGGAGGAGGTGGATTAAGGTTCAAGGAAAACAAAATTTTGGTTAATTGTGCAGAGAACAGCGATTCGAACGGTTGTTCCAGTGAGAAAAATGAGAGCGAAGGTGCGCAAGGCGTGAAGCAGAATAGGACAAATTCTGGCGGTTCGACCAATCTGAGACTAGAAAAGAGCGGGAAAAGCGGGCTTTGGTGGTCCAAAGGAAAGAAATGGCAGTGGCAACCGATTATTCAAGCTTAAGAAATTAGTGTTTTGCTTTTACAGTTAGGTATTGTTATGTTCGTTATGCGGTTGCTCCGACCTGGGATTCCATTACCCGGGTCCGAGCCCAGGACACCAACAACTTCCATCAGCGTTCCTTACAGTGATATTTTGAATAAGATAAATAGTAATCAAGTTCAGAAGGTGGAGGTTGATGGGGTTCATGTAATGTTTAAGCTGAAGAATGAAGGAAATATTCAAGAGAATGAAATTGGTGGTGTTAGTAATAGTGACTTTCAGGATTCGGAGTCCTTGTTGAGGAGCTTGGCGCCTGCTAAGAGAATTGTATATACAACCATACGGCCTGGTGATATCAAGACTCCATATGAAAAGATGCTGGAAAATGATGTGGAGTTTGGGTCTCCTGATAAGCGGTCTAGTGGCTTCTTCAACTCTGCATTGGTAAGTTGTATTATTTCCTTGTCCTTGAAGCTTTTTGATTATGGTTAATGGTAACTGTTTGAATTCTCTTGGTTGTGTTGGGGTAATCTCGTAAGCTTCCTGCTAGATTGTATGTAGTTTAAGATTTAGTTTAGGGTATGTAGTTTAAGATTTAGTTTAGGGTATCTTCTTTGCCTTCATTTGCCATGATTATGTATCTCAACTCTCAAGTAGTAATCTGATGTGCCCTCTACCATTTGAAATTTTATTCCTATTGAGGTTCCAATTAGAATTTGGGGAAAATATATCTTTAGTTATTGAAAAGTTGACAGATTATAAAAATATAAATAGAGATTGCTGATGGTGACCCCAAATAATTTATTTATAAACATCTGGATGTCTTTTAGACATCAACTACCTAGAAACATAATGTCCTCTAATTCCTGAAACCAAATATAGCCAGGGTATCAGTTCGCTCAGGTTAGTTTACCCAATGATGACTAGTGGAGGGTATTTACGATGATTTTAAAAAAAGGGTTAACATTGTCATAACCTTTGATTAAACTGCATGTTTGGCTTCTAATATGCCTAAAAATGGGTTGTCGAAGTGTAGATGATAGGCAGTTCTCAGATAGATACTAACCTTACCATGGATTTTTCTAATTCACTTGCCAATATACATCTAAAACATGGAATTTTATATGTTTGACTTCCCATCTTTTGCAGATAGCCTTGTTCTATGTTGCTGCCCTTGCAGGACTTCTCCATCAGTTCCCTGTGAGCTATTCTCAGGTTTGGATTTTCTTGCAAGTTTTATGAGTACATTGCCTATGTTGCATTGATAAGTTATGATTTGAATAATGCATTATGCAGCATACAGCTGGTCAGATTAGGAATCGCAAGGCTGGAGGTCCTAGGATTTCAAAAGTACCTGAACAAGGTGAAATAGTCACTTTTTCTGATGTTGCTGGTATTGATGAGGCCAAGGAGGAGCTAGAAGAAATTGTGGTACATTAATATTCCTGTACTTCATATTCTACCAGCAACTGAAATTTTTGTAGTAAACATCCTTATGAATTCAAACTTTTGTTTTTATATGTTTACGTTTGCTGCCAAGGAATTTCTTAGGAATCCAGACAGATATATACGGCTTGGTGCTTGTCCACCTCGACGGGTTCTCCTGGTGAGTTGATATTCAGAAACTTTACTTCCCGGTGATGATAAAGCTTTTGTTGTACAGAGGCAATGGATTATTTGCAAAACTATATTAATCCTCAGAAACTGTGTTGGATTTGCTGGACATGTCTCCTCTTCTCTAGTCTATTTTCTCAGCTGAAAGCTTTTGGTATTGAAATGCCTTCTATTTCTCTTGTTATGATAAACTCATGTTTATATATAGAATTCATCATGTTCAATGTCCTAACACCATGCTTATACATGAGGAGCATGTGATGGTTTATTTGCAACCTTGTTATAAAAAATGTAAATAGTGTTGTTTTTTTATGATTTTATTTGTGTTATTGGTGGGTCTTCCTGGGACAGGTAAGACTCTTCTAGCAAAAGCTGTGGCTGGTAAAGCAGAAGTTCCATTCATAAGTTGTTCTGCCAGTGAGTTTGTAGACTTGTATGTTGGCATGGGTGCATCTCGAATTAGAGATCTCTTTGCACGAGAAAAGAAGGAAGCACCATCAATAATTTTTATTGATGAGGTCAGTCTATGGGTTTTATTTGTTGGAACAGTCTGACACCTTGAATCAATCACTCACTGTAAGTTACCTGCATCATGTTTTTTTCTGGTGCATAGACCTGTTGGCCCAATGGCCATAGATCCCTGAAGCTAGTAGTCTGGAACTACATTGTAGGAGATGGATGGATTTGACAGCAATTCTGCTGTGATTGTTCTTGGAGCCACAAATCGTTCTGATGTCTTGGACCCTGCCCTTCGGCGACCTGGGAGATTTGATTGTGTTGTTATGGTTTGTGTGGTGCATTGTATTTCAGTTAACTCTCTAGATGTTGGAATCTGTTATATAAACCAGTTCCTTTGCTATCTCGAAGATATCATGTCTCCTGTGATTTCCAGGTGGAGACTCCCGACAGGATTGGAAGAGTAGCTGTTTTGCAAGTACATGTTTCTAAGAAGGAGATTCCCCTTGGAGAGGATGTTGATCTTGGTGACATTGCCTCTATGACCACTGGTTTTACTGGGTATTTTCTCTTTTAATTTGTCATATTTAAATGGCACTCCTTCCCCATCCTCCTTTGTTGTCGATACTGTGTAAATAGCTATGTCATCTTTTCTATTTTGCAGGGCTGACCTTGCGAATCTGGTAAATGAAGCTGCCTTGCTTTCTGGAAGAAATAACAAAGTTGTTGTAGAGAAAATTGATTTCATTCAGGCAGTAGAGCGATCGATAGCTGTAACTATCTCTCTATTTTCTCTCCTAGCACAAATTTGTTCGTGTACTTATATTTTGCTGCCATTATCAATTATTTGCATTCATGTTATTAGACTATTCCTTCTCCCATGTTGTGAATAATTGATATAACATTTTCCTTGCCATGAAAGGTAAGTATTAATTGTTACATCTGCTATCCAGTGATCTTATGCAATTTTCTCTTTCTAGTTCTTGGCTTTAATTATTGGTTTTACTGTATCCCACACATTTTTAATAATTACCATATGAACACAAAATACAGATTGGTGACCAAGAGTGAACTATGTTTTCATGCAATACATTTTGACCAACCTACTTCGATCTACTCAATTCCTTCTTACACATTTGGCTAACAATACTTGTAGTTATACTAGGGCATTATGATTAGATATTGGATTGCAAGTTGAGTGACAAAAAGAATTAAATTTTGCGGGGCATAGAGAAGAAAACTGCCAAGTTGAAGAGAAGTGAGAAGGCTGTTGCAAGGCATGAAACTGGCCATGCAGTGGTAGGTACGGCTGTAGCAAACCTTCTTCCCGGACAACCACGTGTTGAGATAAATTATCATAATATTTACCGAATGTTCTCAGTTTATTTCTTTATTTGGTTGTCCTTTTCTCAGTAAGAAATCTGGAAATGATAAAAGAAAATTATGAAATTTTAGTGGAATCTGAATCTGCAGCTGTGTAGGATTTTATTCAGAAGACTACATGCACTGTCATGTGGCATACCATAGATTGTGACAGTGCAATTACTTTTATCTGGTTGTTATTTAGGGGGTGATCGGTGTATTTATCTATACACTTCCTAATTGTTAGTTACTATTTTTTATGCTTGGGGTGTTTAGGCAAGACCTTGAAACAGTAAAATGCTGACCAATTGATTCTCCATAATGGATCAACTTTGATTTCCCATTATGGATGTTGAAATTGGAATATCGAGTATGTGGTGTCTGAGTTGAATTGCAGTTGAGATGCTTGAAATATGTTAATGAACATGTTCTATTTACTGTTTGTTTATAATACCAACTTCAACAGTATCACCACTACTTTGAAAATTTTACCAGTTATCCTAAACATTAAAAATGAAACTTGAGTAGTAGGTTATTTTACATGTTATTACATTTTTCTTTCTTTTGGTATGGGTGGAGGTTCATTTGAAATGAAACTTGAGTAGTAGGTTTCTTTACATGTTATGACATTTTTTTTCTTTTGGTATGTTTGGAGGTTCACTTGATCATGGAAAACAGGGAATTTTGATTTATAAGGTTCAACTGGTTATTTTTTTGTTGTTCCATTACATTATCCTAGTTGCCCTTGTTCACATGAAATTGGTAATCAGTTGTCTTCCTTTTGTGTTTGCATAAACTGAGCATATTGCCAAGATCTGGAGGAGCACTGGGCTATACTTATATTCCTCCCACCAATGAGGATAGATATTTACTCTTCATTGACGAATTACGTGGCCGTTTGGTTACTCTTCTTGGTGGGCGCGCTGCAGAGGAAGTTGTGTACTCTGGTCGTGTTTCTACTGGTGCACTTGACGATATTAGGTG